GCAGCCAAGGTGGAACCGTGTCAGTTCAGGGCAAAGCATCGCCTGGAAAAAACAATTCAGGCTGTTCCTGGCTGCTTTTAAACATCAACACTGGCCATTTTATACTTTATAAATAAAAATCTACTTTTAGCAGAAATCAACAAGGTCCTGTTTTATTTATTCTCTTCCCAACAAACCTCATTTCATTTTCAGTTTTTCAGTGACACTGGCTTGGGAAGACAAGCTGCTTCTCATGGGCCATAGCACCAAAATCACCTTATTTTGGTCAGACCGGACCAGTCACTTGTATTTACAGGCAGCGCCTCTGTACGTGCCAGCCCGTAAATTGGTGGCAAATCCCATCCAGGAAAGGGATTCAGGAAGAGCCCAAAGGTGAAATGCAATGGTCTCTGTGGTTCAGGTGACCTCTGTATCCATAAGAGGAGCCATACAGAGCTGGTAGCAGGGTTCCAGTCCATCCCAGGGCCGTGCCATGGCTCTGTTCTCCCTGTTCCTGGGATGGCAGCAGGCTCTGTGCCAAGGTGCTCTCCAGCTCCTCTTTTCCTGCATTGCAGTGGGATGAGTTTGCCAGGCTCAGCGTGCTGTGGTGATGGGCTTTGTCTTACCTGCCATCGGCACCTACAAACTGAGGCTCTCGAGAGGCTCATCCTCTCGAGAGGTTCATGTCAGCCCCCAGCATGGGATGAGCAGGGGCAGAGCCAGGGCTGTTCTTCCCCTTGGAGGAAACCCCAGCTCAAACAGCTCCAGCAACTGCCTTGGGGTTTCGTGCCATGCAAGTCTTCCCTACCCCTCCAGAGCCAAGTGTGGGAATTTTACAGAAATGCCATTTTGTGGATGTTCATCCCTTGTTGTGCTGTGATCCAGGCAGGTGCAACAAAGAGCTTTATCAGGTCAGCTGCCTGGCTGCAAGGATTGTGGGGATCTCTCTGGAAACACTCTGCTCCTGCAGCAGATGAGCCCATGGACTGACAGTGTGGTGACACCTTTCTTTTATGGGACAACATGGTTTGCAGCATTAATCCTTGTGGGGTGGTAGAGAGACATAAAGGAAGTCAGCAGTTGGGTTTTCCTAGAGAAATGGGAGAGGGCTCGGGCAAGTTCCTTTGCTCTCAGGGCAAATTTTGAGAAAGAACAGCTTTCACCCATGAATTGTGAGGAATTTTCTCCTCCCTGGCCCCCAGATTTCATTACAGTGAGAGCACAGCGTAGAATAAAACTGTGTCCTTAAAAAAATCAGCCTCGCAGACAGGCAGCCTTTGTCCGAAGGTGTAATTACAGGATAAATATGGGATGCAGACCAAGAAATGCAGTCTGGTCAGGCATGCAGTCTCTTAGAAAAACACAACAGAAAACAAGGCTGTCATTTAATACTGAAATATCCACGTGTGCTGCAGCCCTCACAGGGTCCCTCGCTGGCCCACGGGTCTCCCCACTGACCCGGCGTTTGGCTGTGAAGCCGAAGCCTGGACCAGCTCCCTGCAGGAACTGCACCGAGCCCTGTGATGGAGTGAAGGGCAAGGGTGGATCCAGCCTCCAGTAGAAGCTGGAAGAGGGCAAGGAGCATGGGTTTCCTTCCCTCCAGCCCCTGTGCACAAATCCCATCTGATAGCGCTGCGAGGAGACACGAGGGATTAGCTCATCCGATCCCATTAAATGGAGCAGGAGCAAGCGAGGAGAAGGGAATGGGGGGTCAGGACAACAGCAGAGCAGCCACAACTTCTGATGTTCGGGACAAACCTCGTGCCAAGCTGGAAAAAGGCCTTTTTGTGGATTTCTGTGGGCCAACCTGGAGGCTTTGCTTTGTGGCCCAGCAGGGCCACCTGGGTATTAAACTGAGGGGCATCTAAGGTGGCATTTCAGAGACTTGCCCACCTGGACAACTTGCCCACCTTGACAACTCTCTTCCTTGGCAATGGCAGCTTCTGCCTCAAGCAAGCCCAGCCATGCCATCACAGCCACTCCTGAGTGCTCCAAGAAGGAGGCATAGAAACAGCAGGATGTACCTCCTGTCCAAAGTCAACTCTGGATTAGACTAGTGAGGGAAGCATTACCCTAGAAAGATCCCATTGAGAGGGGAACATTGAGAGCACATCCATCGTCTATTAAAGCTCTCGTTGTTGCTACATCATTTTGTGTCACCTCCAGTGACCTTCAGGAGAAGCAGTTTGGGCTGGTGGCCCTGTCCCACAGGGCACATGTCCCCTTGCTGCTCCTGGGCTTCTTGCAGAAAGGGTCTCTCTGGTGACAATAAGCATTACCACAGTGTGGTCAATTCCCCACAAAGCACAGCTGTGGCAGAGGCAGTAAAGCTGCAGGTTGTTGAAAGGGTGGGAAACAGGGTGCTTACTTTAAGGCAAGCCTGAGCCTTTCAGGTGTGTTTTATTTCTGCAGGCTTAAATCCCTGGAAAAGAGGATGGTTTGGGTGTTTTTGGCATTGGTGTGGATGGTGAAAGGGTAAGGCTGCATTTGTTGCAGCTCCTGTTGTGGGCTTCCTGCATGGTTTGTCTGGACGCAGGTATGTCCTTGCTCTAAGGCTTTGTCTCTTGCCGTGGCTTTCCCAAGGCATGCTTTTCCTCCCAAATCCATGCCTGTCCTCCTCTAGGGAAAGAGCAGGGCAAGGCCTGGCAGCAGCCAGAGCAGCGTGAGCGGGAGATCCCTCTCCTAGGGGGACAAACCTCCCCCTGGTCGGCACAGGGGGAATTCAGCTGCTCTGGTCTCGGAAGGAGCCGCGTGTCCCCCGTGGCCTCCCGATGTGCCTGGCACCGGGCGGGAGTCTCGGCTCCGCGGGTTTAATGGGAGCAATTAGCCCCGCGGAAATCTGCATGGGTCGGGGGCGTGTTTTTTCTCTGTCCTGTGACGTTTTTGACGGGAAGCTGGAGGGTGTCCAGGAATAAATGCTCGTGCTTGGCTACAAATGACAGGCTGGAGCCAGCCGGGGCTGAGGCAGCCCAGGTGAGAATGGTTGGTTGTCACTGTCCCCTCTTGGCCTCAGCTCAGCCCAGCACCCGGTTCCCTCGACACTTGCTTTGTATGTCCCTTATTTGATTGTCCTTGCCCCTGAACCTGGATTTCCCCAAGCCCCAAAGCGCCGCCTGCACGCTGGATGGGAGGGGGATGCTGGGCACCCTCTGCATCCCTTCCCCGGCTGTTGGCAGCTCAGTAGGTATTCACCCCTTGTGCTGTTTTACAAACGATTAACTTAAATTTTATTTTCTCTGCAAAAGTCAACTTAACGGTACTTTTCCAGAGGCATTTGCCCGTGACCTGGGTCCGGCCGCGTTCCCCCCAAACGCTGGCTGAGCTCTGTGAGCTTTTCCCAGCGCGCAGCTGCGGAATATCCATCCGACCTCAGTGACCCTGCTGCTTTCCCAGCAGGAAGCCTCCAAACAAAACCCGATTCACTCAGCAAACCCAGGGCTGCTTGTGATGCCGAGAGCTGCGTGTGAGGCAGGCAGGGGGCTGACGCTTTCCACCGCCTGTAAGCGATGAGGGTGCGCCAAAAAGTGCCAGTTTTTGCACCCTGTCCCCATCCAGCCTGTGTCGAGCGCCCTGAATTCACACCTTGAGGCCAGATGATGCCCGGCCCCGCTCGGAAAACCTCCGCAGCCGGGGCGGGCGGGTGGCTGCGCAGGGCTCCGGCGCGGCTGCTCCCCGCCGTCCGGCCCCGCGCTCCTCAATGCCGCCTCTGTTCTCCCTCCGGCGTCAAAAACGCGGCTTTTGTGAGCTCAGCCCAGCCGCAGCCCGTCGCTGGAGCCCCAGCACGCTCCTCTCGGCCGGCAGAAGCACAGCCCAGCTGTGCCCAGCCGCCGCCTCGTTTTATTTATTTATTTTTGCTTTTGGCCAACAGCTCCAGTTGGGGAGAGGGGACGTGTGGCTGCTGGGAGCCCTTGGGGCTCTTCAGCAAGTCTTGGGTGGACGCAACCCCCCTCCTCCACCGAAACGCCTGGCTTCTCCCTCAGGTGGCTGTTGTAACCTAAAATATATGGGGGAGAAAAAGGATGTGCTGCAGAGAGAGCTAAAAATAGGCATTTTAATTAATGAAATGTGAATTGGATGGGGTAGCTCGGCGCCGGGTGAACGTCTGCATGTGGCAAACACCCTGAAACTCCCTGGGCCTCCACCAGCTTTGGTCACTCACCAGTGCTATTGGCCTATATTTCTGGGGCTCCCCCTGGGGCAGGGGAAACCCACCAATGCTAAGGAGACAGGAGAGGCTCTGAGCTCTGTGCTGGTGTTTTTGTTTTTAATCAAGTAAGTCCGACCATCTTTCAGCACCACCAAAGTTCGCAGTTGCTCCCACGCGCGCGGGGCTTGGGGGATTTACAGCCCATGGGTCCCTGGGGGCTCTCCCAGGATCATACAGCAGGACACGTGTTGGTCTCCAGCCAAAATGGGACCTCCCTTCTGGGTGTCTCCCTGTTTCTTTGCGGTATGTTGTGCTGCTCTGATTTTTGGGCTTAGCTCTTTGACCAGCCTCCCCCTCCTTTTCACAAAATAAATAAATAAATTCACCTGGTATGCAAATACACAGGGGAAAAAAGGAAAAAACCCCAAACCTCCCAAACCAAGTTTGAAGAGCACCAAACCACAAAGTCACCTCATTTTGTTGCAGCCCAAGTGCCGTCCAGGGCTCTGTGGGCAGTTTCCAGTCTGTGCTGGTGTATGAAGGCACAAAACCAGTAAGGCCTCTGGGGTCTGTGTCTTTGCTGGCACCACAGCGATCTTGTCCCTGCCCTGTTCCAGCTGGGACAGGGAGTGGCAATGCAGAGGTGCTTGGTCCTGTCACCCTCAGCTTGCCCTCACCCTCCTCTTCCTCGGTGCAGCTCCCAGGCTGGGGAGGTGGCCCTAGTGCCGAACCCACCGCCCCTCACCCTTGCCTTTTCCCCGTTCCCGGGAAAATTGTGTAATTCAGGCTCTGCAGGACTCTGGGGTCAGCTCTGCCAGGGTGCTCCAGCTCCATGTGGCAGCAGCCAGGAGCATTTTCAGGAGCAGGGACCCCCAGGTCGTCTCCGGACCGGCCGGGAGCAGGGCCACAGCCCCTCGTTCTGCCCCGCCGCCATCCCCCGGTGCTGTTACGTGATCCAGGAGGGCTGTGCCTCCTCCAGCAGGCTGAAGGAGCGGTTGGCCAGCTCGGCGGGGCTGTTGGCCAGTTTGTAGCCAAAGAGCTGCATGGCCGGGGCGCAGGCGTCCTGCACCACCTGCGCCAGCTTGAAGGGCATGCTGAACCGCCACTTCTCGAACTGCTCAGAGGAGTTCTTGCACGTGGAGTAGACGCCATTGCCATCGTGGGGCGCCTGCGTGTTCTTGCCAATCCACTCCTCCACCTGGGGGGTGAGGGGCAGCCCGGCGAAGCGGTACATCTCCTCCGCCTTCGGCAGGGGTGCCCGCGCCACGTCCTCGTAGCGCACCAGCATGTACCGGCCCCGCAGCCAGCCCGGCCGCCGCAGCCCCAGCTCGGCCGACGCGCGGATGCTCTCGCAGTTGCCCCGCAGCCGCTGCACCTCCTCCTCGTGCAGGGGAGCCTCCCCTTCGGACGCCCACTTCTTCCAGGTCTCGTACTTGCCCGAGAAGGCCACCATGCGGGAGGCCAGGACGGCCCGGGGGTCCCGCACCAGCTGGATGATGCGCAGGTCCAGACGAGGGTCCTCCACCAGTGGCTGCAGAAACTCCAGCTGGCGGACGCGCACCGTCTTCAGGGCCACGTGCTGCTTGCGCCGGCACGCCTCGGTGGCCAGGGTGATGTTGAGGGGGCCGCAGCGCCTGTTCTTGCAGTAGTACTTCTCAAAGACCTTCTTGGCGCTGGGCGTGCAGACAGGGTCCTCGCAGAGCGAGCGGCTGGAGCCCCGCCGAAACAGGAAGGGCGTCAGATGGCCCTCGGGCGCCGGCGAGATGAAGTTCTCCAAGATGTAGAGGTCGCAGAGGAGGAGCTGCTTGAGGACATCTCGGTAAACCAAGGCGGAGCCCACGGCACTGGCTCCCCCTGGCAGGAAGGTCACCGTCTTCTCGACATGCCAGAGGGGCTCAAAGAGGTAGAAGATGCTGCCTTGCTGGTTGAAGAACTCCCCCACGAAGGAGGAGCCGGTGCGGGTGGTGGCCATCAGCAGGACGTGCCGCCGCGGCCCGGGGTCTCCATCCCCTGCCAGCTGCAGGGTGAGGTTGTGCAGGTGGGACCTCAGCTGGGAGAAGGCGGCGTCCAGCTCCTGCAGCGAGGCCAGTGAGCCGTTCTCGGCCGGTGCCAGGCTGACCTCTGTGCTGTTGGCCTCTGTCAGTGCCTGCGGGGACTGCTTCAGCTTGTCTGACACCCTGTGGGGAGACCCAGCCCAGCCTGGAGGAGAGCGGGACCACCCCTGCATCCCAGTGGGGGATTTGGGGGGCCCTTGCTGCACAGGAGCTCGGGATGTGGGGGAAAGAAAGGGTGAAAAATGCGGGGTGGCTCAGGTACCCGCTCCCTACCTGGAGATGAAGTTGTTCTCCTTCTCGATGATGACGAGACTGACAACGAAGACCAGCAGGACGGCGTACTTGCTCCTCATCTTCAAGAAGTGCAGCAGCTCCCAGACATCCTGGGGTAAAGCGCGTCGGATCTCCATGGGGAGCACACACAGATCTCTCCTGTCTGCCGGGAAGGTGTCCTGGGCTAGGGCATCCTCTGTCTTGCCAGCCCTGCCTGTGGGGAGAAGAATGGTCAGCATGGTGGTGGTGGCTCCCTGCAGGCAGAGTCAGAGGCTGAACCTTTCCGAGAAAGGCTTGACAAGAGCAGTAAAAAAGGGGGAGCTCCTCCCTACTGTTCTATCCCACCCCTGAGGAGCAGCTGCATGAAGGCCCCATCAGCTGCTCCCCCTCCTTCCCAAAATAGGTCTGCCCGACAGGACCCCTTCCCACGCTTCCACCAGCCACCCCTGCGTGCCCTGAAACCCAATCCCTGCTGCCCTGACAGCTGCCTGCTCCCCACTGGCAAAACCTGCTGCCCACAGCGAGGGACCCGTCGGATCATCCCGGTCTGTGGCGCATTGTGGCTCCCAGCCTTTGGAAAGAGCTACTTTTGGGGACAGTGGGAGGCTCTGCCGTAGGGCCCCGCTGTGGGGCCGCGTGGCTTCCGCCTTCCCCCAGCACAGCAGCGGCAGCTGCTCAGTACCGAAAATGAAACCCAGAGAGTTTCCAGGAATGATGACGGGCCGGAAAACACTGCTGCTGCCAGTCCCCTTCGGGGTGTAAAATGCTCTGGGTGGTGGTGGGATTTTGCCAAAAAGGAAAAAAAAAACAACTTGGTGTGGGATGCAAAACCAGGAGACTTGGCATCCCTGCCCAGCAGAAAAGATCCCCCTGCATCCTTCCTTTTCATCCTCCTCCCAGTGCTGAAATTGGGGTGTTGGTGGAAACCACTCTGCATTGCTGCAAATGCACACACCAGCTGGGATGTGGTGGAGATTTTGGGGGCCAAAGCTGCTGTTTGGAGCTCTGGGGCAGGTCCCCAGCATGTGTTGAGTGTGCACATTTACACTCCTAGGGCTCCCGTTCCCTGCCCGCTGGTTTGCATGCTCGGACAGCTGTGTGGGTGATGCCATTTGCTCGTCCTGCTTTCTTGGCCAGACTTTCAGTGACTCAGGGAAAGTCTATTTGGCTTTTGTTTCACTCTGCCAGCATGACTCCAGCAGCCTGTACCACCCCTGCTTTCTGGGGTGAAGGGGGGAGCCAGGCACAGCCCCATCTGTTGGGGAGCACTGGGGTTTGCCAGAGGGGAGATGCCCCGGCCGAGCTGCAGTGCCCCCATCCCTCGGCAGGGTGTGGAGCAGGGAAGCCCTGCCAGGCATTGCATCACATCCCAACCTCCTCTGCATCGTGCTTGGCCAAAATGTGCTTTTTTTGGTGTTGCTTGCTCTATGTCCCTCCCACAGGGAAGGAGGGAACACGGGCAGAAGGGGAGGGATGCGCCCTGTGGCCAGGGCAACATCCAGACTGTCCGGTCCCCAGTTCTCCCTGTGTGAGGACCAGGAGTTTCCAGGCTTGAGCAAACCATTCAGCTCTCAGGGCTTGGCTTTCAGCCATCCCCTTCCCAGCAAAAGCTTCTAAAAAGAGACACCTGCACCCACGCATCCAGGAAACTCAGGATTCAGTGGGATGCAGGGACTCTGGAGAGCCATGGCAGCTCCCGAGTCCTCCCTCAGGGGCCCCCAGGCTTCCCCCTTCAGCGAGTGGCACCGACATCACCCAGCACGTGTGTGTGTGTTTAACAGCCCTGTTGGCTCAGTTTGTCAGCACACTGCTCCTCAGGGACAGGCCAGCAGCCGGGGCAGGTGCCTTTCACCGCGTAGCCCCCCGGGTCCCCCCTCCTCGGTCGTGCCCTTGTGATGACAGGACTTGTCGGAGTTTTTGAGGAACCGAGGAAAGAAATCAAACATACAAAGCCCTGGGTGTGCGGCTGCGTCTCTCAGCACCTGCCGGAGTTGCTGACTTGGCTGTGGCAAAGGACTTTTGGGTTTGTGGCATCCCAAGGGGCAGCGGTCCCCATCACTGCCCTCGCCTGGGGCTGGGGACAGTGCCCTTGCTGCCTGCAGCGCGCACGCAGGGGGATGCCATCATCCACCTCCTCAGACAAATCCATGGGCAAAGCCAGCCTGGGGTTTTCCCCCTCTAATGCCGCCAGCTGCCCAACCACAAATGAGCCACAGACCAAGAATTATTCACAGGGATGACACAGAGAGCCATGTCCAGCAGTGCTGGCAAAACCCTCATTCCCAGGCCTGGGGCAGACATAATTCATTAAATAAACAGCCGGCTGCAAACGTCCGGCCCAGGACCCGCGGGGCGGCAGCGACAGGCACAGGGGCCCTGTCAGGGCTGAGCCGTGGGGCTGGGTACACGCAGGGGGCCTGGCGAGGCTGGTGGGGGCTGCTTGGCATCCCAAAGCTCCTCCTCGCTGGGGCACAGCCTGGACGGGGCAGCATGCAAGTGACAAGCATCCCTTTGTGAGAGGGAACAGAGGGGCTCTGTGTGCCCCGTGTTCTCCCCTCTGGGGCTCTGCTGGGATGGGAGGGATGAGGAGAACCACGAGGATGCTGCTGCCGCCCCGGGGTGCCCCACCAGTGACTGCTCCACCAGTGTGAGCAGACAGACGGACGGATGGACATTGTCCCTGGTGATGGCAGGCAACTGCTCTCCTCTTGCTCTGCACATCCCAAAGCAAAGAGCAGTAATTTCCAGGAACTGAGGCGCCCCAGACAGCAGCACTCACAGGTCCTCAAGTGCTGCTCCCTGACTTATCCTTCGGGCTAGAAGTGCTTTTCATTTCAGCAGGGACTGCTACAATTCCCACTGCCAAGAGGATAAAGGATTTATGGATTTCCCAGCTGAGTCAAAGCCAGCATAGGGTTTTGGGTGGTGGTGGAGATTTTGTTCCCATGCAGAGCTGCCCAGGTGGGATCTGATACTACCAGCAAGTCACCCTAACCCTGCCACAGCAAGAAGGAAGGACTCAAACGGTAATGGAGACACCAAACCATCCCAGTCTGCTGGAGCAAGTCAGTTCACGGGATGGATGCTCCCAATGGTGGTGCAGGTAGGGTGAGCAGGGTAGTGTAACTCCAGAGCAAGGACAGCAAGGCCCGCGGGGAGAGGAAGGAGCAATGGGATGCTCTTGTCACCCTTCTGCAGAGCATTTTGCAGGACTGCCTGACTGGGAGAGAAGAGCAAGGGTTTTCGGCTTGGTTTTGGGCAAGGGAAGGTCTTCCACGAAGCCTTGGGGCTCTCATCCCCCTCCTCTGGCTGCCCTGAACCCACACCAGGTGAGCTCCAGGAAGGAAAGGCGCCTGTGGCTGGCAGGGGAAACCAGCTGGAGGTGAGACTGGATGAAGTCACATTTACCTCCGGTGACTCAACAGGCAACAAGTGAACTTCAGATAAGGAGCAGCAATGAAGCACCTACATGCAAGCTCCCTCCCTGCCCCAGATCCCTCTGTCCATCCAGCCCCCATCTGCTCCCACGCAGAGCCCACAGGGAGCTGCAGCTGAGCTCACTGCCCCCTGCGCTGCTGCTGCTGCTGCTGCTCGGAGTAATTCCCTCCATGATCCTTTGCTTCATCAGATTTCCAGCAGACACAAGGGCCAGCAAAACACAGGGGTGGAACAACAAAGAGATAAGGAGCATGGGCTTATCTGCTGTCTGCACTGCTCTTTGTCTGCAACCTGGGGAAAAAAATCCTCTGTATTTACTCTATCAACTATTTCCACTCCCAGCTTCCTCCCAAGGCTGGCTTTGGGAAACGTGCCACCGGAGCTTCCCACTTTGCTTTCATCTCCCAGCAATTTTCACCCCGGCCCTGGCTGTCCTCCAAGCCATGGCACAAGCACAGCACTGCTTCGGTTTGCCCTGCAGCGCGTGTAAGGAGTCTGTCTGGACAGGTATTTTTTGGTTAAAAACATGTCTAGTCAAGCCAAAAAAAGGAAGGAGGGAGGGAAATGTCACCGCCTGCGATGTTTATAAAGCAACCGAGAATAGCCACAGGCCTCATCAAATTGAAGCCTGGAAACTGCCCATCAGAGGAGAAAGTTTGGAACGGAAAGTCCTTCTGGCTGAGGTTACACTCAGGAGCAGCAGCAGCAGGTGTTGGTACAAACAGGCACCACTGACACAACTTTGTTTTCATTGCATGAGCTCTCAAACTCCAGATGCACAAGGTTGTCTCCTGTCCACTCTTTATTGTCCCACCCTGAACTCGGGGGTGAACTAGATGAGCTGTCCTTGCTCCTCGTCTCCCAAGAAGCACTGAATCCCAGATGGGATTTATAGGCAGGTGTTGGCACAGTAACGCCAGTGACAGGACCAGCACAGGCTTTGTGGCCAGGACAGACCAGTCTGGGCTCTCCCTCACCTTGGTGGTGTCCAAGAGAGGTGTTTTGTCCCAACCCAGCAGAGAGGAGAGCTGCTGCTCCTGCCCCGCTGATTGTGGTGGGAGACACAGAGGCATCTGTGCTGGGCATGGGGGAAGATGTGTGTCTGCCAGGCAGGGACCGGCCTCTGAGGTTGGATCTGGACCAGGAGGCAGTTGAAACACCTACCACCTTGAAGCCAGCTTGCTGGAAACCACAGGCACTTCTGGGGTGGGTTTTGCAAATACCACCTGCAGCAAAGGTGAGCGACTGAACGGCAGCTGAA